ATGCCATATTTGGTCGCAGCATTGGTATTCGTTCAGGGGCATGAAACTGTTTCTACTTGGATCGAATCGGTCGGATAATTGCACCTCCCTTCATGCATGCATGAGCGCGAGGGGTTCATATTATGCACGGTAGCCACACCATACTCTTAGCTACTTTAAGATTGCTAACATGAATACCAAAAGCGAGACGTCCTACGCAGTACATTTAGCTATTGATTTCACTGATCACAGGAGCATGGCACCACGAAAAACAATCAAAACGAAATAGGCTGAACACTAATTTAGACCAAGTGATTAAAAACAAAACCCCGACCGAATGCCGGCCCGATGAAGCACGAAATGCTGTTCGGTCCAATTAGCAGGGTCTGTGTCTGAAGTTCCGAGGAGGTGACTACGCCCGCTCGGCAGTCGGCGTGCTACGAGCGCGCGCGGCCAGCCCGTCGGCGACATGAGCATCAAGGGCTACCGGGCCGGCCAGACGGCACGACCAGCCGGCCGCACGCGACACCGACACCGGGCCGCCTTTCAAGTGGTCGGCGCGCGGCGGCGGCCGGCCCACCGACAAAGTGGCACGCCACACGGCTCGGTAATTAGATGGCGATCTCGCGCCGCGCGCCGCGCCGTCCCCGGCTGGTCCGGACCTGACCGGGCCGGTTATGTGGTCTCGGCCCGCTCCAGAGGCAGCACCGGGAAGATGAGGATGGGGCCCGCCCGTGAATTTGCCACCACCCCGCTCTGCGACCTGCCGCTGCTCGGATCAGAGCGGTGCGTGCGACCGGCGATTACTCCGGCACTGGATGACTAACGTCGCCAGCAGCTGCTTGAGCCGCCAGTCCACGTCATACCTACCCAAACACTGACGTGATGCGGGCGGGACGCTCTTACAGGCTTAGTGGAACCAGCTCCCAAACGCCGCAGGTGCATGTCACTTCAACGTGCACTGGATGACGTGCTGTCCAAACAGATGCGCGACCGGCCCCAGGTGCGCTGACTCACGGCCAATGAGGATAAGCCCGGGAGGCGGCCGATGACAGCCACCGCCCCTGCAGCGGTGGACGGACGGGCGGGCGGGCGCACCTGGAGCCAGCGCCGGCGGCGGACCGAGACGGCTCTCCGGAACTCCAACAGATGTCCCACCGGGCGGTACCCGGACTCGACGGCCCAGTGACGAGCTCATTCATTCATGGTTGTACACAAGTCACAGCCCGATAGAACAACTTTGATGACAGCATAGGAAAACGTGAGCAGCGTGTAACCGCTTCTGACTCACGCTATGCACATGTATGCATTTCTACTTTCCGCGGCCGAACCATGTCACGCTGAATATTCTGCGACCGCAAACAGCGAACTAAACCAACAAGAAACTACTGGCATGACAAGTACGCTGTTCTAGATCTGCGAGACAGCCAAACATAAACGTCATGTCAATTTCCAGGCTGATGAGGACGGGTTCGTTCCTTCCTCTTCTGGGACGAAGTGTGCAGGTGATAGTAGGTTGACGAGCAACGAGGTTGCCCCGCAGTTTGGGCCTTTCCCTTACCCAAAACAAGGAACCGTAGAGGAGCTCTTGCTCGAGAGAAAAAGGAGTCAGAAAGTCTTGTTTAGAGTTGATTGAGGCTTTCCACGCACTTGTGCTGCCTTGAAAGTCATGATTTGAGCGATGAGATATATAAATTAGCTTAGGCAAGCATTTCATTCATGGCTGGGGTTGCCTTATTTGGTCATTTTCTAAAGTTGTTAGTGTGCAGCCCTCGTTTAGCTGCCTGAAAGGTATCGTTATTTCTGCAAAAACTGAGAATAGCTCAAAGTATTGACTTGTAGGCAGTTTTCAGTCGCTCAAAAAGCAAACCGTAGACGCGTGATACACTACGCTCAGGATTGACCTAATCATTGCCTTTACTTTTAGCCAATATCGACACCTTTTTTTAAACCCCACATCTGCTCTCCCGTGAATTTCCGGGAGGCACGAAAGATCTCCTTTTAAAAGTGTCCAATCGTCCGATCCTGATCAAATATGTGTGTTCCTAGGCCTGTTCTGGTATTGCTTTATCTGCCAAGACAGACAAACTTGAGAAAAATCGAGTGATTGTACCTTTTTTGAAGGTCTCTAACCAACTTGTCTGAAATTCACCGGAGAACAAATGTGGGGTTTAAAAAAGGTGTCGATATGTCGGAAGCAAGCGAACGATTGTATTTGGTCAGACAGAACATCAAGTTCTGCACTTTGTTGCCAAACTGGGCGGAGATCTCAGCTGGTAATGGGCCCGTGGGATATCGCACGAATGTTTGCTATAAAGTCCGAGTAGCTGAAAACATAGTTCTAAGCCATTCTCCGTTTAGCGAAATAAAAATGCCTGCAAAGCAGTGAGGCGAGGGCTGTACAGAGGGAACGGAAAGCAATATTGCGCTGTAATATATATTGCGCAATATAAGCTATATATTGCGCAATATAAGCTACCAATATTGCGCAATATAAGCTACCAACAAATGCTGATCTATATCGGCGGCGCGCGATGCTTTGCACGGCGGATGCCCATTTCTCCTCCTCTTAATACCTTAAGACGTCACCTATCAACTAATTGCCTGATGCAATGACTGGTTCGAATGGGCGCAAGCATGTTTGCCGCCGACAAAATTCCTGTACCTGTCTCCTTAGCCAACTGTCATGCCCGATCACCAACGTGACATTCGCACGGCACGGCACATGATAAAAACATGAGGCCGGGAGCTCGATGTTCCTTCCTACACATTAATGAATGATATTTCTACGTAATATAAAACTGGCAGTGATGAGCAAATCGGTATGCTGCGAGAAACGATAGTCTGCGATGCATTTCCGATCTCATTCTGGGCACTGCCGAAGGACAGCAAAACGTATTTTGTGAGACATAGATCCGATACTGCCCTTGCAATTCAGCGGAATGAACGCTGGTAGCACAGGTAGAAAAAGTCCCCAGTGCACAAAAACAGGTAGCATAGAGGCTTGTAGGGTCTCTGTACCTATCTTGTTCGATACAAACATGTTTTACTGTATCGAAAAGATTAATTGTGAAACTTCTTCGAAGCCGGTTTCTGGTTCAAACATGATCTCATTTTCGATCTTATCTCGTTCACAGAAAGGTTAGCCTAGCGGACATCCATTGAACGGGTGTCCTACATATGATTACGGCACCATTCCGGGAAGTGTGTCCTCATTCATAACCACACCTCGGACAGACCCCGTCAATGACTGACAGTGAAACAAATCAGTTGGAGAGACGGACTGTCCGTCTGTCACATTTTTATCCAGTAATATCGGCAGGCATGGACTCCTATCGGAATAGCCCGTCCACACTTCCGGTTATCTGTAAACGGCCGGTGAGCCGACCGAAGTCGACACAACTATGAGGTCACTGTCTGCCAGCAGCAGGCCCGAATGGAGCTGTGAGCGACGTCCAACCCATGTAACTGACCACGGAGTGACGCAACACGACAGTCGTTCGCCGGTCCCAACAATGGCAGCCGCCGCACACTTTCCCCATAGCACGAGATGCCTGACTGACCACAGCTCGGCAAACCCTAATGGCATTTGCTATTTTCATCCACTATGCATAGCGGGCATTCGTGGATAGTCAGTCTTGACCGCTATAGGCTGGATTTTCCGCCACGCCTTTGGTGGACCCGATCTGTCTACGAGACAAAATTGACAGCCCGTTCAGTCTCTCCTGTCGTTTGGTATTTCGAGAAGGCACAGAAGACAGCTAGTGCCACAGGCGGCGGAGCCAGTGCTACAGATGGCAGAGCCAGTGGGATCAATAGCAGAGCAGTGCTACAGATTATGCAGCCGGTGGAATCAGCAGAGCAGTGCCATAGTCTACAGAGCACGTGCTACGGACGGCAGAGCCCGTGCCACGGACAGTATGTTTTAGGGCCTTGGTAAAGCAAAGCCCTTGGTAAAGCCAGTGTCAAGGAAGGCGGGGTCAGTGCGGTCAGTGTCTCCGACAGGGCCAGTGACGCGGGAGTTAGTGTAAGTGTCACCAGAGCCCGTGGGGCACACCTGGGTCGGCTATCCGCTCGTGTCAGGCGCCGAGCCGGCCGCGCCCGAGTCCCTGTCAGTGCCGAGCCCGTCGAGCGCGCGCCCGTGTCGGCCGGCAGGCCGGTGAGGTCACTCCGCGGCCTATCGTGACCGCAGCGGCTACCACATTCCGATCGACCCCGATTGCCGACACCGCAAAAACTCCGCTACATAATATCTGTAAACAGTTTCACATCAGCTACATCGGAGCACGTCACACCACAGCTTTTCGGGTTCTGACATCGCTGTTTCAGCGACGCATGAAGTTGCGGTCGGTTCAACAGTTTAATGGCGATGTTCAGCAGCCGTCTATCCGTCGCCACGGCGGGCCGCCGATGGCCAAATACGGTCAGAGCTGGGTCAGACTCCTGGCGCCAGCCAACTCCTCCCGGCGGCCACAAGCACTGGTCGCCCGCCAAATCTGTAGCGCCGCCGAGCCGAGCGCATGCCGCATGCCTCTCATTCTCCGGTCGCCAGGAGCCCGGCCCTCCGCACGGCCGTCTCCAGGAATGGCGCCGGTGATTTCAGACCTCCCTGAATGGTGGCGCGGGTGATTTCAGAAGATTTTCGAGAGGCACGTGCTGCCAGCGTGAGACACGCCACTAGGCCTACTCGCGCGTCTCTGAGACGGGGATAGAGACATGCTGCTTGAAACTTGACGGTAAAGAACTTCACGCACCGGTTCTTATGTAAGCTCCTTTGTCCTTCTAAAATCATGAGCTTTTACCCGAGAGGAAAAAAGTTATTATGTCCTTTGTCGGCTACGACATCACTTAAAAGGAAGTATGCGAAATAATTTCCTCTCAGTATATGCAGTGCGTTCAGGGTAAAATAAAACCATTTAAATATAATATCCGCTTACCTTTGGTGTCCTGTGTAGCCTCAAAAACCGTCCGAACACGCATACGACCGCATACCAAAGCGACAGGCTTCAACTAAAGGATACGAGTTTGCATGTAGAGCAGAACGCAGGCGACCGATGCGCCCAGAAGTGTCAGCACCAAGCCCAAGGCGAACCAGCTGGGAGCGCTGCGGGGCAAACAGCACACGACGATCAGTACGGGGGCAATGGTGATAGACCTCTGGCGGCTCCCGTGCTTCTAGCTAGTGATCTCCTTCGACGGCTTGCATCTCCCTCATATCCCATAGAGATTGGTGTGTTAATCATCCATCCATCAGACAATCGTGTCTTCGCACTATGTTCCAGCGTTCCGTGTTTATCCAGCCCGTTCCCGCAGTAGCCATGTCTCCTACCTGTATCTAGGATCTATCACGCATCTCCCTATCTGCGGTCTACTCTATTGATTTATATCTATCTGGCCCTTGTCCCCATAGAGATCTTATATACATAGAGATGACACGCCTATGTTAAAGCACTTGATTTCGTGGCGATTCAGTGGGTCTTTTTAAGCAAGGTTTTCTGGGGTGCCATGGCCCGTGACTTGCATTTTGTAAGGATTCGGTCAAGGAGATTGTGTTCACATCCGCTTATTTTTAAGTACAGTTTTTTGTCTAGCTGTGACGCTTTCGAGCGTTATAATTGAAATGAAATTAGGTATGTTTTAACCTTATGCTCGTATCAGGTAGGGGAGAGTGGGGAAAGATGCCCAGGGCTTTGCTATGTCATATATTATTCGAAAATGACGATCGGAAAGCAAAAACTTGGAGTTTCAACGGAAGCCGACATCATTTTTCTCCAAAAATATCACACTTTCGTGCCTGAAATATGATAACTTTTTTTGCTATTAAGCATTTTCCTGAAGATGTGAAAGGGGGCATCTTACCCCACAGGGTGGGAAAGACGCCCCCTGGGGTTGGGGAAGATACCCCCTGCACTATAAGTGACATAAATGGGCACGTGAATCGCCTGAAAGAATCAGTAGTCCCTTCGAGCCTGCAGTAGACACCAAACGTCATCGTAAGGGTCCTCAAAAGTAGTCGTAAGGGGCTTCAGAGGTCATCGTTAGGGCCATCATAGTCCAGCGCGGCCAAACAAGCCTCCGTGGTGGCGTTCGGAGACCACTGTGGGGCCCTTATACGTCTTCATGATGCTTGAGGGCCCTCCAGCCCATCGTGGGCTTCCATCTAGTTTCTGACCAATGATCGACCCTTTATATTCGGTCCCATATATCTGATGTATCGTGAGGAATATGAGAGTCGCAAATCTATAATTTCACTTATGACGTCACTGTGACGTCATTTCAAATGGGATCGACACCAAATTTGGACACAACCTCGGCTAGGTATTCAGGAAGATGTGTGCAAAGTTTCGCTTCTCTATCTCTTCGCGTTGCGACGATATCGTCGCAGAAGTAAAGGGGGGGGGCAACTATATGCCCCCCCCCCCCCCAGCGGCCGGCGGGTGGCGCGGAGGCCCAGCGGCCGCCGGGTTAAAGAAAGCGCGGTTTTGAGGCTCATGATTACATACCTATATAACTACAATGAAAACCGTAAGACGGTTTGACAAAAGTCAGTTTGTCAGTTTGGCCAACATGTCTTATTTTCTTGGCCCTATTTTGAATATAATTATTAGCATGAGGCTTACGGTTTTCATTGCAGTTATATACTTGGGTCATTAGAGTTTTTCATCAATAACTCCCCATCAAATTGAGTTAGCGAATCGGGAAAGCCACCAATAAACTCAGGAAGACCTGCCGATTCGAGTAATATGTAACATGACCTCTTCCAACCAGCTTCGTGATCTGGGGGAGCTGACCTGCCCTTGACCCGAGGTCAACACCTCAAGTTGACCTCACCCGAACAAAAAGTATACCATTCGACGCGCCTGAGCGAGGCGAACACGATGATGCCAAAATCGCGGCTCTCCGACCGTTTTTTTTTGCGAAGTTATGAAAAACTGAACCCTGGGCCCTGGTCACTTGACCTGACCTCATGAGGCCTTAAAATCGGGTACCAGTCCCTGCGTCTTGTAACGGCGCACACACTTTTTTTCCGCGACGCTCTAGCTTCATCAGGGGCGAAACGGCGAGGGAAATCGTACCAACCAACCCCCCCCCCCCCCCCCCGGCGGGCGCGTATGTAGAAAACCAATAGGTCCGGCGAGGGTTAATGTATCATTGAATGGGAACATGCAACATATGTATATTTGAGCTTGCACCGTGCTCAGAAAGGTTCAGAACAGCCGTTTTCACGACGGTTGACCGAAAGCGCCAAACTTGACCAAATCTCAAGGAACCTACCCTGAAAATTCCATGAACCTGACCCAAATGACCTTAGACCTGTAACCTTTTTTGGGGGAACATGTCAGGGCCAGGGGGGCCATAAAACATGCATCGCACAACCCTAGTAAATAGTAAAGTTGGTTCATGTGCTGACCCTTGGTGACCTGACTTGTGACCTGACATGGTATTATCAGTGACCTCTAATAGCAACATATATACTAGGCAACGTACGCCCTATTTTTAACATACGCGAAATATTTTATCTTTGACCTGACCTGTGACGTCATCGGTGACCCCGAGGTCAATGAAATTGGAGTTCCGTCGACAAATTTGACAGGGCTATCGAACTTCGTTTGAATGTTACGGATCCGTCCAGTAGTTTCGGAGATACGGGAGGGGGCAAAAAAATGCCCCCCCCCCCCGCGCGGAAGGTGGCCGGGAGGTCCACCGCCTGCCGGGTTGATGAGATCCTGAATGAGAGAGAATGTTTTTAGGCGAGCTTTTAAGGAATTCAATAAACACACAAAATGAAATCATGCTACAAATTTCATTGCTTACCTCAGGAATGAAATCAGCCAGGAAAGAACAGCAATATTTTTAACCAGTAAAACGCCTTTTGGGGCGACCAACGGAGCGAGCGAGAGGGTGGGCCTTGGACAAGCGAATTTGCCAGGGACACCTCCAACTAACTTGTGCACTGCACCCTACTAACCGGTCCCTAGCGATGTGCCAAATTTGAGCGAAATCGGCCTAGCCGTTCTCGAGATCTGGAAGCGGCACCCTGCACGTGCACACGTGCAAAATGGGTCACAACTGACTTTTGCACGGCACCCTACTAACTGGTCCCTAACCATGTACCAAATTTCAGCACAATCGGTTGAGCCGTTCTCGAGATCTGGAATCGACCCCTGCACGTGCGCACGTGCAGCAGCACCCCAACTCTGGCACATGGATATGTATTGCCTAGTGGGTGCCTACCTACATACCAACTTTCAGCGCAATCGGCCAAGTAGTAACCAAGATATTGCAACAATTGCAAAACTGACACCTCTTCGTTTTGCACGTGGCACGTGCATAAGCGGTCACCCACATGCATCGAGAATAGTCCAATACTTGGTAGAAGGAATGAAGCTACCCTAGAAAAATCATCGAATGTAAATCGGTCAAGTGGTTGCTGAGATATAAGCCTCGCAAAAGCGTAACCACGGCCGGCCGGCCGCTCATACTAAGAAATTTCCGTTAATCTACGAAAGACTACGCTTGCTTCGCTCGCTCCGTAATAATTTCTTCAGACTAACAATGCCTCAGCCATATTAGCACGCTACTTGCTGAAAATAAGTTGCTTAAAAAGACCCACTGAATCGCCACGATTTTAAGTGCATGTCATCTCTATGTATATAAGATCTCTATGCTTGTCCCCTCCCTCCAGGGGGGGTCGAAGTCTAGTTCATACTAGACTGGCAACCCCACGGCTGACGTCACGATCCCCAGCGTGACGTCACAGCCCCAGGGCATTGACCCCTTGAAGCTTGCAATATTTGATGGTGCTTACAGATACACTAAACAAAGCTTGTGCCTTGTACGTAACAAATGAGTCATGCTTCTACGCTCGATAATGTGTTTATTGTGTTTTTAGCAGATAAAGCAGACAAAAATTGTTCAAAGGCAGAAACAGCGAGGTGTACGCCAGTCGCCACGCATCGATCTCATCGCATATGGTGCCCCAAGAGGCGCAGCATTGCACCCGTGACCCCTCTTTATGTCCCTAAGGTCATTTCAGGTCAAGAATGGTCTCCAGCAGTTTTTTGTTTTACCGTAACCTTTGACAGAGATATGATTCTTGATTAAACAGCAACAAAAATACATTAGATGTGTTCAGCCCAGCGATACAGATCGACTGATATGCATTACGGCATTTTCCGGTCAGGACATGACCTGGAAATGAGGTAAAATTGTCGAAATGACTTTTTGTGGTCAATTCAAAGTTTATTTGACGCGTATTGACGAGAGGAGCACGTTTATCTGCATTTTGCCGGCGTAAAGTCTCATGGAAATCCGTTGAATAAAGTTTAGGTCTGCGGAGTCGGAGTCGGAGTCGATCGGCGTTGACAGTTTTGCCCGGATTCAGAGTCTTAATCGACATGCCATTGCTCAAATTCGTGGTCATCGTCTGTTTGCGGGAAAATATTACGTTCGGTGACCTTTCCAAGACCGATGTTTAAGCTGAGTTCCTGTTCATCTTCCTGTTTTGGACGAGCTTTTGAGTGTGAAAAGCAAATGGGGGTGGCTGCACCCGAAACTGCTTTTATTCACAGACATGTTATTTATAACCACAGTTCTGACCGGGGTCGGAGTCGGAGTCAATTTTGGAAACCAGAGCCGGAGTCAGTCGGAGTCACCGAAAATCAATCGACTCCGCAGACCTGGCAGGGTTGCGGAGTCGAAGTCGGAAATAGAGTCGGCTGGAGTCGATAGGTAATGTATGCCCGCAGTCGGAGTCGAAGTTGGTTTTTGGAAGCCGGAGTCGGAGTCGGAGTCAGAGTCACCGAAAATCCATCGACTGCGCAGCCCTGGACTTATAACGGTACCGAAATGAGCTGCTGTTGGAATGTCAAGTGTGTTCACACGATTTTCAGGCACCAGAATCTGCATCTTAGATCGTGAAATGGTCATTTCATGGCTTCTGGTTTCTAGTCAAGATCTGGTAGCCAGCGGTTCCTTAAAGTTCCCAGGCATTCTCTGGTTCTCTGGCGCCTCAGGTCTCTTGATTTCTCAACCTGTCGGCTGTCTCAACCGTTCACGGTTTTCTGAAAGCTTCTGAGTGGCGGCTCTTCCACCAGCTATAAGCTGGTTGTTTCGTGGTTCTTGACTTATAGCTAAACTTCTGATTCTCAGACAATTTATGATCGATCACACTTAGATCACAAGGATGCTTCTACCGGGATAAAAACAGATATCTCTGTGTATCATTCACTTTACCACCAGGGACTGGCGACTTGCATTCTGTATAACATAATAAGTCTTTATTCTTATTTCTTTACGCGCTGAAATTAACCACCTGTGTCTGGAACCATTATATGATAAAGTAAAAATATTATGCCAAAGCTAGATAAATTAGATGAGCCCCGAAATACAGGAAAATATCCAAAGAGCTTGTTTTACCCTATTTCATAACAACAAAACTATCTGCAAATACGAGATAGCGTCCTTAGCAACCGCCCATAGCAACGTGTTTGTCTGAACCACGCATCTGGAAAATTAAGTAGATACTGGATAAGTCGACTGGAGTTTGGTCAAAACTACACTGAATTTGATTTCGAAATGGCTTTTTGTGAATCAAATGTAAAGTGACTTATTATTTCCTTTCAAATTTTCATACTATTACAAAACATGCTTGTTTGCTCTATATTTGTAAAGAAACAACTGCAAGGACGAAATATCACGACAAAGTCTAGTACCTTGTTGGTAGGAAACTTCGTCCAACCTTATGTTTTACGGCCTTGCCTCCCTCTCTCAGACCATCTGTGCGTCTTCGGTGCGGCAGGTGGGCAGCTCGATTCATTGCGAGTCCTCTGTTCGGCTGAGGGTGGTGTAGGTGCGGAGTGCGCCTCTGACCACTGTCTCTGTTCCCAGCCCCCGATGGGAGAGCACCCTATCCACTGACCGGCTGGGGTGGCTGAGCCGGTGACCCTGGCCGCGCAGGGTGATCAGGGCAGTCAGCATCAGTGCCGGGTTCAGCAGAGGCGCCCAGTCGTCCGGCCCCAGCGAGCAGGCCGCCAGCGCCGCCGCGTAGGTGACCGCCGGCCTCAGCAGGCTCCAGAGCTGGGCCGGCCGCACGGACGGCGGGCCGCGGCCGGCCGCCTGCCGCCGGTACAGGTCGGAGAGCATCCGACCACATGGCGATCTGAGAACGGAAAAACAGTGCAGCACTGTGAAATACGAGAGAAGCCACGGCTCTACTGCGTGAAAATAGTGAGTAAGCATACAGCACGTGAACGTAACAGATACAAAGTGAGCGGGACTCGGCGGCAAGTGGCGCGCGGTATTAAGGCTACCTTAGCAGGTTGAAGTGGCAAGCACACCAAACAGGCCACTGGTGCCACCCAAGATTTGTAATGAGAACAGCCACGTTTCGCATCATATAAGTAAGAGTCGGGCCTTCCGCGGAAGTTGAGCATCATTGTTCGTATACAACTGAATGATCCTACCCGTCCCGATCCTACAGCTACGGTATTCCCTGAAGTCTTTCCATTGGAAGGCATCAGTGTGCTGCCACAACGGGGCCCCGGACATCTGACGAGTGTAAGTTGCCGGCCGACGGTCCGCCGGCCGGCCGTACCTGGAGACGGACGGCAGCTGGTGCGGCGCGCGCCCCTCGGCGTCCGCAGCGGTCAGCAGCTCGGCCGAGCCGCTGGTCACCAGCAGCCAGCAGACGTGCTGGTGGCCGGCAGCGGCAGCCAGGTGCAGGGCCGTCCGGCCGCCGGCGTCCGCGGACAGCAGCGACGGCCTGCGACATAGGGCCGAGGCAGGTAGGTCGGAAACATGGGACAGCGCTGCACTGCACACGACCTCTGAAACGGGGTCTGGTCAGAAACATGGCCTGCTACACGGGGGGAAGGGCTATGTCAAAGACACAACGCGGTTCCAACACGCTCGAAGAAATGCGGGATATGAAAATCATGCGTCTAACCCAGACGCCCATAGCGAAGGGGTGCGAGTACGGTAATACCTACATACTTATCCATACACCCACCTGGCCTGTTCGATCAGATATTTGACGGCAGCCGCGTGTCCTCCGGCCGCAGCCACCATCAGTGGCGTCCTGCCGTCGTCATCGGGGTCCGACAGGGAGAACCCAACTACTTCGCCCAGGTACTGGAGCACCGTGCTGAGGGAGGGAGTGGGCACACAGCGGTCAGTCCGACAGAGAGCACCCGAACACTTCGCGCAGGTACTGGAGGAGCACCGGGTACTGAGGGGAGAGGGTGGGCACACATCGGTCAGCCCGCAGAAATCACTCGAGAACCTCGTGCAGGTACGTACTGGACCACCATACTAAAGACAGCGCAACACGTAGCATCAATATCTCAGAAAATGGTTCACATAATGGACATCACGACATAAACCACGCAGCCAAACTCAACAGTATCTATCGATCTGTTCGCACGGCAGCTGCCGGTGACGCGGCAATGTCAGTGACCAGCAGAAAGGCGTCGGTAATTGAAGAGCCACTCACAGCTGGCCAGCGGCGGCGGCGGCGTGCGCGCAGCCGGCTCCGCTGGCGTCCCTGACACTGCCGTCGGCGCCGGCCGCCAGCAGCTGGTGCACCGGCCACAGCTGACCGCGCTGACACGCCGCCAGCAGTGGCGTCTGACCTGAGGTCACAGGGCTACACGGTGTCACCTGGGGGCCACGGCGGTCACCGAGAGCGGCGGGAATAAGCCAGAGCCAGGGAGGTGGATACTGGCAGACAGAGGCCGAAACTGACATCGACAGCACGCTGGAAGCTGACACTGACAGCGGCGGAAACTCAGACCGATGGCGGCGGACACTAATGCACACTGAGAGCAGCCCCAGATCAGGAGTTATTGCGCATGATTTGTAACGGATTTACTTCTGAGTTTACCGGCTGATTTACTCGATTCTCGTGAGATCAGCCAAAGGGAACTGCACAAACACAACGGTCCCGACGCTAGCAGCCGCTGTGAATCTGGTCCATCAGCTACTTGCCTTCTGAGTCCGGCTCATCGGAGAATCCACCTCGCTGAAGAATGGCACACACAACGGCCAGGTTGCCGGACAGGATGGCGTGGTGCAGCAGCGATCTGCCATCTGAAACAACCACGACGAACTGTCACACGAACCGACATCACGAGACACCCAGCCATCTCATAATTCAGGGACTTCGTTAGTCAAACCCGATAAACTCATCGGGAATGATATAGTTTCCGCGGTCCCATCGTAGGTTTCCGTGGCGCGAGTACCTACTGATCCCCGGCAATTTGTGCACGAGCTATATGAATAGGTACCGACTTGTACTCAATTTCACTTTCTTGTCCGAAGATTGCCGACGTGAATTCGAAATATCCTAAATAGCCAGACCAATCGTACGTTAAATTTAAGACGGTCAACGTGAATACCAAATCGCTCGTGCGATGCAAGCTGATGGTACGATGTTGGCGTGAATGCGGCCCCAGGACGGGCCTGCTGAGAGCGCCACCTAGCGGAACTGTGAGAAACTGGTAGATGGCGCAACCTCCGCCATCCGGGTCTCGTATCGCTGAGGACCGACGGCCCTACCATTATGGTAACTTTCCACCCCAAGTTGGGTCCCCACTCCCCACTCCCCAGCCAGTAACCGGAGAGATATCAGATTCCAACCAGTACTGTGAGATACCTAGGGAGTCCAGAAGACTTCCTGGCACAGGCATAGGGTACAACTTGCCATTGATACCCCGTGAGTCCTCAGGTCAGAATTTAACCTGGTAAGTGGCAGTGCCACAAAACCACAATGACTCATTTTTGAAGACCACAAGACCTTCTTAACCAAGCCCAATTAGTCAGAGGACCTAGATACAGTAAATAGTCCAATCTGGATAAACAGAAAGAACTACTTGTGAATATAACTAAGCAATAATTCATTTCACCAGTCATTTCCTGAGACACAAGGGGGTGTCCTCATGTGTGTGATGTCCTCATTATGTCCTCATGAACAATCATTGATGATATTATCAGTGGAGATCAGTGTATTTACTTGTCACTTGGCATGTGTGAGTTGGCAATGCAAATGGAACTAATCAAATAGAGACATTGCAAATGCAATGTCTTTTGCAATGTCTTTTGGAAATGCAAAAGACATTGTTCTGCAACAGGACATTGCTGTCCTGGCCTGGCAGGGCTACAAGTTACAACAGTGTGCCTATGCAGCAATCACCTAGTGCCCATCAAGTATAAATAAATAAAACAATTTCTGAAAGGGCAATGGGCATTGCTCACTGCTCAGGGCCCCTCCAGGTCTTATTTTAGGAGCTGTATGAATTAACAAATGAATGAGTTGATGCATGAATGTATAAGTAAAAAGATGAATCCAGAGCTTATAAATGGCTGAATGAATTAGGATCAAGCTGATTGAAGGTGTCAAAGATAGTAGATGATACGAAAATAAATCAATGAATGAATGAATGAACGAATGAATGCAAATGAATACCTAAAGCAAAACAATCAGCTGGCAGTCTGTTCATGCCTAGTCGTTAATCAGGTAGCATCAAGATCAAGATAGTTCAAACTCACCATAAGTAATCAACAAAGCATCTTGCTGATTCATTAGCAGCTTCTCAACATGGGAATCATCCATAAAGCTTAACTGCTTGATAACATTTGTTGGTGTGCCTTCCATTCCAATTTTCCCAGCAGGAGCCAAATCTGAATCAAACCTTGACCTGAAATGTCAATACCAATGATTTCATCCATGACCAATGTCATTTGTCAATGTTGACACATCTATCACTGTGACATTTCTTACAGTGCCTACCTAGTCACAGACTATGAGTTGCTTAAACTTACCCAATCTTTGTAATTACAAGTGATGACTCTCAAATCAAAATTGAAATAGGTGGATTTGCACCAATGTAGCAGCGCGCCTCTCGATGCTATATAGCATATAACTGATATTTATATATGCCCTGATACGAGGCATGCCCTGATATAACGGCAAGATATTAGTTATCGCAGCACCTCTACAGAGTCATTGTTGTTGTTGTTAGGGCGCGTCCTCAACAGCGTCACGGTTCTAAGTACGTAGTGTAACCCTTAACTGCCCTCGATAACACACTTTACACCGTGCATGAGTGTTTTGATCAGGTTTTGAGCACGTGTTGAGGTGCTGTATAGCCTTGGGTGCTGTGGTGGGCAGCCTTCGTGTTGTTGGTGTTGGGTGCAAGTTTGGTGCAAGGTTGGGTGTTTGCCTGCTCGTTTGGTGCTGCTCGTATTGACGTAAAAAATGGCAAAGTCGTTTTAATTTTTTTACGTTGTCGTTAAATGCTTGCATTTTAACACAAAATCAAATTTTAATAAATAATACAACCATTCAAATAAATGCAAACTGTACCAAAACATTTTAAACACAAAATTCACTTGAAAATAACGTCATTAAACTATTTTCAGTCAAAAGTTTTATTTTGTATTTATTTCTAAACCTTGCACTTGCGATAGTGTTGTTTTGTGTTTTGTGCTCCGTGGTTTTGTGTGTGTTTGTGTGTTGTTGGACGCGCTGGGTTTGTTTTGCCGTTTATTTTTTGGGTTTATTCACCTTTCGGGCATTATTGAATAGTGTGCGCATCATATTGAATTGCTTGTTTTGTGAGGGTGTACTGGGAATTATTTGTTCTTGATTTGTTCCGTTCCCAGAAATGAGAAACGTGTTGCTGTCCGAGGATGGTATTGGGGTTCCAACCCAACTTCCATCTCAATTTGAAATTATGTTCCCTTTGAATTATTTTCCCCCTCAAACTTAATAGCCTCTTACTTGTTACCTGGTCTTTTATCCTCAACAAGTCAGAGGGCTTCACGGCAAAAATGAAATGCTGATACTGCAGCACGCTGACGCATGCGCAGGGAGGGCTAATCACTTGTAGTACCTACTACCCACACTGTATAGCCAATCGCCATTACATGTGTGATGTCTCCTACTGAAGCATACTTTTATCTCCTACAGCACAAAATTTGGTGCAGTAGCTGAAAGCGGCAGAAATCAAAGTTGACTCCTGTATTTCTTATTGTATCGCTCCCGCGGTTTGTATGTTTTGTTAGTACCTGTCATTATCACTCTTCAGTGGCACACTACTATCTACCACATTTGAACACATTTTAATTATTATTTGAATGACAACCACCAGTCCACTTGTACCACAGTAGGTATTGCAGCGCATGGAGTGGGCTGCAGCAGTGCAGCAGCCCTCGGCCCCTGCCTGCCGATGGAGTGGGCAGAGCCAGGTGGCTGATGTTACCTGATTAAGATGCACACAGCACAAATCTATGCTGCTGCATTGGATATGACCAGCCCTTTGTAGTCTGTAGTCAGATTAGCAAATGAAAATGTATTTTTCCAAGGAAGTGAGTGTTTGTACACTGTACAGGCCTGGGTATAGCCCATAGGCATCAGCATAGGATTGCACAATTCCTATAAAAATATTATGTTACTCTTTCTGTAATCTTTCAACAGGCAACAAGGCAAGCAGTAAGCACCTTCCTGTGTGTCATCTTCCAGTCATCAATTTTTTTGGTCTAGTTCCCACCGATAATCCAGATCTGCTGCGAATGGCACATCAAAACATTTGCAAAATGACTCCTACAGACATGGGTGTCAATATCTGCAAAGTTGGGGGTGCCCAAGCACTTATACTGCCAATTGACCTGATTAGTAAGTGACTTTAACCTGTGCGATTGGTTGCAACTCCAAAGTCCGGACCTGTGAAGAAGTTGAAATGGTACAGGCTGGGTGCTGCAGCACCGTTTGACAGAAATCAACATCCATTCCTACAGAGGTACTTTATCGGAAGATGACACCTAGGGAGGTACCTTGGCAGAGGCTTTCTGGATTAGTAACATTAAAAGCTTGTGGAATCTGATCCTACCATCCTATGCCTATTGCCTATACTCTCTTGACTCATTTCATTGGAATTTGGAATGATATATTTACTTTTGCTGAGTATAGTTTAATGTTGACCTGTCATGTCATTTATATTCCCAATGCCCATTGCCCATTCCCCAAACTATTATACTGTGTTATACTTGTTTTCAGAATTCAGAAAAATGGCCTCCAGTGAATCACTCTGCACCTGTGGTCAGCCATATGACAACACAAAGTTTATGGTTCAGTGTGATATTTGCAAGGACTGGCTCCATGGACTGTAAGTAGCCAATTATCTTGTAATAATATATTAACTTTGAACTAGCTTTCTATAATGTGTATTCGCTTATAGGTGTTACCTATCTTGTATTCCAGCACACTGTATGTTTTGATCACTTGTGCTGCTTGGCATAGTATTTACTATTTAATGATGTTTTTTCTATAAATTTTCCTTTATAGAAATGTATAACTACAGGGTGATTTTTTTTAACTGTTAAAAAGTAAACGTCAATGGAGGTCCCTAAATCGAAAAATCTTGTGCAAAAAAGCAATGCACGTGATAGATAAATCTGGGACATTTTGTATGGTGTCATGATTTGTCCCTTTTAACCGAAGGCCTCGGCCCCAATGGAGCCTGAAAATGTCCCACCAATCGGGCACGCATGGTCCACCGCCGTTCAGTAAGGAACGACACAGAACGATGATTTTGAAGCATTGAGGCAGTTCGAAGCATACGACCATCAAGGAGATACCTCAGAAAGACGTTAAATAATGCAGGAACAAGCTTGTAGTCATAAATGACCTTCAAACGGTCCATCTGGCGTATGTGCAACCTCTGAAGAATCAGTCTTCAGGGAGAAACAAAAAACAGCGAATCAGACACCACCAGGGCCGCCAGTAGCAAAATCCTCGACCTGCCTTTTCTAGACTTCTAGTTTTTGGACCCAGTATGGCAGATATAACAAGAAAACATTGGAAATATCTGGCAGAGCTGAAAATGGGTGATAGGAGCCTTTTTAGTCCGCCTAATGAGCATGGGAGTCCATGGTACTGTTCAACACGTGCTCAGGCGGGCTGATTCGTGTCGGTGAGAGAGGGGGTAACTTCAAGCACAAGTAAAATACACGATGGGCGTTCCTTCACATCGTGTCTGCTGAAATCAAAATGTCCCAGAATGCTCGTCATGCTGGTATATAATTTTACCATATATATTTGCATTTTAACGCCACTAAACCTCATTACTTTTTAACAAGTAAAAAAAATCACCCTGTACTTAATGAATTGAATTCTTATAAAATTATGTTAATAGCCCCTAGGGTAAATAACACCTGCTTCAGCTTTCAGCATTTCATAACAGTCATGCAGTCAGGCTCTTTGGTTTTCATGCTTCTAGCATGCATTAAATTTGCAAAATAACTAGCTAAACCTACAGAAACTAAATTGCACAATCCTCACTGACACTAAGTGCTCTCTCTACTGTGCCCTTAAGTAGCTCTTCCATTTATTAATCAGCATATTTGAGTGATGCAAATGCTTTCCATTGTTATCTCCACTCTTATTTCGCAGATGTGTTGGCCTTCGTGAGCACCAGAGTGTTGACATTGACAAGTATCACTGTCCAAGATGTGAGCTGATGTGCGGCCCGTCAATATGTAAGTTTGTTTGTTATTCTGAACTGACTTGATTTATTCCTTTTTCTGCACATCTCATCATTGCATCACTTGGGTGTGCTGGATTATTGGGTATGTTGGTATTTATAAGCTCATGATTTCCATCCTCTAGGTTTGGTTTACATAGATAACTTAATCGATCTCTCAACTCATGAAATAAATAGTTGTATTCTTGTCCGCTGAATTTGCATTGGAGCGCTCACTGCTGCTCGAACAGAGCGCCGCGGTTCTTCATGGCCTGTCGGCGCTCCTCCAGCTTCTTCTTTTCGGCGGCCTCCTCGCGCTGCCGCTGGCGCAGCTTCTGGTGCTCGGTGCGGATGTCCTCGTCGTGGGCGTCCTTCTGCTGGTCGGCGATGGCCATCTGCTCGAAGCGGTTCTTCATGCTGCCGGCCTTGTTGGAGTTGTCGGTGAAGTTGGGGTTTTTCGAGATGTCGGGCCGGATGCCGTTGTCGTCCATGACGGCCTCCATGCCGCAGGCGGGCGGCGCCTGGCCGGCCGCCACCTTCATCCACAGACGCATAAACTCGTCCAGGTTGAGCTTCTTGTCCTTGTCGTCGTCTCCGAGCGCGATGATCTTCTTGGCGTCCAGATGGGTGATCGGCCGGCCCATCTTCTTCTCGCAGAACTTCTTCAGCTTGTCGAGGGTGATGAAGCCGTCGCTGTCGAAGTCGGCCTCGGCGAACAGCTCCTCGAGTGCGGCGCACTGCTCCCTCGTGTACTCCTTCTCCAGCTCTGGGTACGGGTGGGCGTAGCGCACGTTGGGGTCGGTGCGGCGCCGCATGTGTGCCTGACTGGTGCCGGCGATGGCCCGTTCCCGGTGGCCGAGCGCCTGGGACAGCTCATTGTCAGCCATCTTGCGATGCAGACATTTAGTGGTCAGTCGGCGGGAGAGAAGATAGCGCGATGCTTAAAATGTTTCGAAGTAATGATGCGTCCTACGCGTTGAATTTGCAGGTATACCTACATTGTTTAGTGCCTTACCTACATAGTCCCGAACATTTCCAGCCTTTTGCTTGTCTAATCAAGTGGTATTTTCAAATTTGCCGATAGAAATATTGAACGCAGCATGTAGGAAGAGTAACTGTTAATTTTAAATCCGGATTGATAAAGATAGAGCTTGTTCACGACTCTGAAATTTGGAAGAAAATGGACATTCGCCTGAACGTCGCCGCATTTGTAACATTTTTCCATTTTCTAAATAGGCGCGAGATTTTATTGCTAGGCGATTCCTTTTGGATGGTTGCTCGAGAGTGTTCCACTGAGGGTGTCTGGCTCACCTTTCTTCTCGATATTGTGATGGCTCTTCCTTGCTTCCTTTTTCGTAGTCCTGTTACTATTTCTAGTGACATATGACCACAGTAAAGTGGCCACAATATAAGCATGTGAAGCACTGAAAGCAAGCGGAATTTTGATACGCCCCCATTCTACCTCCGGCAGACAAGCAGAGGACCAACTGGCATCGGCTTGATCCGTACGAAGCGAACGCCGAGTCCAGGCCAGTGCAGACGGGCACTCCCATCTTCATCAAGGAGCTGCGGTCCCGCCACTTTGAAGGGTTAGAAACCTGTGAAATGTGTCGTTATCACTACCACTGACACTTTGCCATGTGTTGTG